AATTAATTTAACTCAAGCAATACAAGACAGCGTCGAGTTGTCATAAATCATAAAGATTCTAGATGGTTATGTCTATCTCATTTTTCGGTCCTAGTGAAACTAACTCGAACTTGAATTATCGTAAACACCCCAAGACAGCGTCGAGTTGTCATGAATCATAAAGGTTCTAGATGGTTATGTCTATCTCATTTTTTGGCCCTAGTAAAACTAACTCGAATTTGAATTATCGTAAACACCCTCAGGCATCTCTCTGTTGACACAAATCGACACAAGTATCACTCTGTCTTTGTTTGATATTCAATGAGCAACAGAGAGAATAATACTTTTGTGTCGCTTGTGGCCAAGATCTATAGAGAGAAGGTTACCTCAGTAAAACCGGTTGAGGGCGAGGGACGATAAAGTAAGGGGGGAGCTAGAAACAGCTTGAAGACGAGGGGCGATGAAGGAAGGGGAGAGCATGATGATCTCATCGACAAACAGTAGCTGTCTGAGACACAGATGTCTATACTAGTACTAGATCGCTAACTTTAGGCTTTGACGTATGGAAAAACTGAGGCTGGCAAGATTTCCGGTTTCGGCCATGACACCCTACAACAAAATGGCCGCTCAACAACTGCTCAACAACTGCTCAACAACTGCTCAACAACTGCTCGGCATCTTTCAAGAATTTTTACAATATTATCAATTTGTATCACCACGCCGGGTATTACATGTGCATACGCACGTACAGATATACCTTAGAACATATAATACTGGAAGGAGCATAGTTTCTTGAAAGTGTCGGCGAGTAGATTGACAGAGATAGATAGATGATGATCCTAGTTTGTAATGCGCATGACCTTAAGCCTTGTGTCCACGATGCTAGAACTCAATCCGAGATCTCGGTCCGAGTCCTCGAACAATAATATTTATACTTGGTTGAATATAGTTAGCGTTGTAATCGAGTTACGATTCTTTACGATGATTTTCTGATCTATGTTATATTGCCAAGTTGGTTTATAGATATCATCAAGTGATGCACGCTTGATTTCGAATGTTTTATTTTATTTAGATGGTCCAGATATTGTGATCTTAAATTATTAATTTTTTTTGCAATTTCAGTTGTTAGTGGTTGTCCTGTTAATTCTTTGTA